CCCTCTCACAATCCTGGACCGCTGGCTCCTAATCACTCACCTGCCTGCCTGCCTGATCACCCCTAACTGCCCCCCCCCTTGCCAGCCTGATCATCCCTCACTGCCTCTGTGTGCTGGCCTGATCACCCCTAACTGCCCCCCCTGCCTGCCTGGTTGCCCCTTACTGCCTCCCGCTCCCACCCAGGTCGCCCTCAACTGCCCCCTCCCTGCCAGCCTGGTCACTCTTAACTACCCCCCCACGCCAGCTTGGTCACCCCTTACTGCCTCTCCTGCCAACCTGGTTGCCCCCAACTGCCCCCTCCCTGCTGGCCTGGTCGCTCTTAACTCCCCCCCCCCTCTGCTGGCCTGGTTGCCCCTAACTGCCCCCCCGCCGGCCTAGTCGCCCCTCATTGGCCCCCCTGCCAGCCTAATCACCCCAACTGCCCCCCCCCCCCCCCCGCCAGCCTGGTCTTAGGCAGCCATCTTTGTGAGGGCATGAGGGTTAATTTGCATATTACCTTTTTATTATATAGGATATTTAGCATGGTGATCTGTGATTATTATACTTGGCATGGTGATCTGTGATCAGTGATCTTTGATGTTACTATGTAATTGTTTCTGGCTGCCAACAACTATGCTCATATGACAGCGGATTTAGTCAATATATGTTATGTGTGTTCTGACTGCTCCACTGAGGGCCCATCTCCCCATCTCTTTCACTCTCCTTGGGCTTCACTATTCCCTGAGATAAAACAATATTAAAATGAGACCAATTGATAACCCTACAATGGCCTCTAAATATTCAGTTGAAAGGAAGAGTTGCATGTCTCTGAATTTAAATCAAAAGCTATAATTGATTTAGTGAGGAAGGCATGTCAAAAGCTGAGATAGGCCAAAAGCTAGGCTTCTTGTGTCAGTTAGCCTCGTTGTGACTGCAAAAGAAAGTTCTTGAAGGACATGAAAAGTGCTACTTCAGTGAACACACAAGTGATAAGAAAATGAAACAGACATTGCTGATGTGGAAAAAGTTGTAGTAGCTTGGATAAAATATCAAACTCGCCACAATATTACCATAAACCAATGTCCAATCCAGAGCCACATTCCGAAATCTCTTCAATTCTTTAAAGGCTCAGAACGGGAAGGAAGCTGCAAAAGAAAAGCTTAAAGCCAGCAGAGGTTGGTTTTTGAGTTTTTAGGAAAGAAGTGATCTTCAGAACGTAATAAAAGTGCAATATGAAGCACCAAGTGCTGATATAGAAGCTGCAGCAAGTTTTTGAGAAGAACAAAATCCACAATATCTCTGAGGTATGCCTGTACTGCTTTTGTTAAAAAAAATAATTTTAGTGCTGCCCAATGTGGCTTGTGCCAAGTGACTAGTTCCATCTCCGGACTATGATAAGTTATTGATGTGCAGCTTTTAATGCACAGATGTCTACGACTGCATTATTTTTCTTTAAGTCATGTAATCAGATAATTATAGGGGAAAAAAGTATTCCGAGGTACATTTGAATAATGTTAAATTTTGAGGTGTCCTAGTATTGACTAATTTAATTTTCTGGTCAGCATTTGACTCAGAATACATCAAGAGAGCACACAGCTGCTAAGTTGCCAGGATTTTTCAACTGGTTTACAGGTTTGTTTCACAATTGTATAATCATTAATTATCTAGAAGGGCATTTTAGCTCATAAACATTTTGCAGTTTCATTTAAAAATAGAAACAGACTCATAAATACAGAGAACAAACTAATGGTTACTGAATAATAGGGTAGTGGGAGGATGCATGAAAAAGGTAAAGGGGAATAAGAGGTACACCCTTTCAGTTATAAAATAAATTACAAGGATGTAATGTACAGCATATGAAAAATAGTCAATAATATCATAATAACTTTGTATGGTGACATATGTAGGTTACTAGACTTATTGTGGTTATAACATAGTAAGTTATACAAATGTCAAATCATTATGTTGTACACCTGAAACTAATATAATTTTATGTCCACTATACTTTAATAAAAAATGTAAAAAAAATTCTAGCACATATTGAGACAATAAACTTATGTGACAATAAATTCTTTTAGAACTTGTTATTCATGAATTCTACATATATTAGTTACTTGATTTCAAGTAGATAATAAGGCAAAGGAAAAGAAAAGATAAATAAGATATTGTTCTACCCTCACAGACACCGTCTTTATTTCTGTTTGAATATGTTTGAATCTTTCTTTCATAGAAAAAAATTTAAGAGAAACCCTTATGCTTCATAAAATATTATTCTCTTCAATAATTTTCTAGATCTATATACTTTCTTAGTCATTCCACAATTCTGTGTCCAAGATCCAGGAAAATGTCCATAATCTGCATGTTTTTATGTTTTGTATTTTTATTTTTAAATATTTTTATTGATTTCAAAGAGGAAAGGAGAGGGAGATATAAAAACATCAATGATGAGAGAATCATTGATTGGTTGCCTCTTGCTTGCCCCCTACTGGGGATTGAGCCCACAACCTGGGCATGTGCCCTGACTGAGAATCAATCCCTGATCTCCTGGTTCATAGGTCGATGCTCAACCACTGAGCCACTGGAGCTTGGCCATAATCTACATATTTTTTAAAAGCACATTCTCGATAGAATCATATATTGTTCTATCGATGTTTAGATAATGACAAGTGTCAGTATCTTACTGTAAAAGGTACACAGGGAAATATGCAATTTTATCTTAATCATAATCTCAGGGAAATGTAATAGAAAAATAATTCAGACTCTTGGTGGCCCAGAATATATTATTTTGAGCTACTTAGATGGCCAATGTAGTTATTATTCTTGTGCCTAGGACACATTATTTTCAATCTATTATAATATTGTATTTATTCTGACTGCTCTCTACAGTTTGCTTACTCAATGGCCAACATTGTGTTTTGGGCACAGTGTGGAACACAAAGGTCTAAAACACAGATATTAACTTCAAGGAGTTTACTTGGAATGTTCTCTCCCCAGATAATAGAAAGGCAATTGATGTTTTGTTATCAGGACTCATTGATATGCCTGGGGCTCATCAATTTAAGAACTATTTGAGATCCTTTCCAATTATTTACATGCTAAATACTATGAAGGGAAAACACACTCACTATGAAGTGATGATAATAGATGCTAACACTGAGGCTTAAGAAACCTGTTGGTAAATAGGTTGGAAAGTTGGAGATGGCAATAAATTGTTTGCAAGTGGTATAAAAATCAGCTATATATTTATCAACGTTTATTAATTTTTAGTACTAGAAAAAACCTACTGTATCAGTGAGGGTCCTCCAGGGAAATAGAAACAATAGGATGTGTGTGCAGTGTAGAGAGCGAGAGGAAAGAAAGAGATTGTTTTATTATAGTGAATTGGATCACATAATTATGGAGGCAGGCAAGTCTCATGATCTGCTATCAGCAAGTTGAAGACCTCGAAGAGCTGATGGTATAATTCAACTCCAAAAGCCAGGAGGCTTGAAACCCAGGAAGAACCAATATTTCAATTTGAGTCTGAAGTCAGGAAAAAAAAAAGATGATATCTCAGATTGAAGGTAATCAGGCAGGAAGAATTCCCTCTTATTTGGAGAGGGGTCAGCCTTCTGTTTATTCAGGCCTTCAATTGCTTGGCTAAGGCCTACCCACACTAGGGAGGACTATCTACTTTACTCAGTCTATTTATTGAAATGTTAAACACATCCACAAACACTCACACAGAAACAACCAAAATAATGTTTGATCAAATATCTGAGCACCCGTAGCCCAGTCATGTTGGTTGACATATTAATTTTCCATTAAACCTACAAAACAAGTGGGGATATAAGAGAAAGGTATAATTGCATTTATAGAAACCTGCAGGTAAAACACCTACCAATATAGAAAAAGATACTCATTTCATTCTCTATTTCCAAGTTTTAAAAATGCATTGCAAGTTAAAACTTTGGAAATCTATTCAGGCTCTCCATATTATGTATGAAGGAACTGTGATGCAATGAAGTAAGTGACTTGTCCAAGATTATACATCTCATTAACCCTAAAGCCAGAATTAAAACCAAAACCGTACAGCTTTAATATTCTCTCTAAGGATACACTGATATAATTGCCCCCTTATCACCTGCATGCAAGACAGGAAATCTGGATAAAATTCAAACTAAATTTCAAGATGGGATTGATGCATTTCATGTTGTAAAACATCTACCTCTGTGCTACTGGTAATTCTGATTCAGATCTCAAAGTACTTTGTGCACAGCTATTACTGAGTTATGTGTCAATTTGGAGTTAATTCAAAACATGTTGTTTTGCATCCTCTCATAAGAACTTAAAAAAAATAGACCTTTAACACTGCCTATGAAAATGAAGACCATGATAAGGAGATGTTTTTACAGGCATGGAATCAGAATGGACTATTTATTTTCAAGTTTTGGTCACCGAGAAAATACATCTCTTCTAAGCTAACAAGATTAGAAAACACTTTCTTATATTTTTAAAACTCTTCAGGTTTTCAAGCAAATATTTATGTAAAGACAGTCACATTTTCAGATGCATTGTAAAAATAATGGCAAACCTGAATGAGGGGACTGATGGCAAGATACTTTCCCTTAATAAACCACCTTCAAAATTTCTGTAAGATCCCCAAAATAGATCATAATGAATTCGCTGTTACAAATTCTCCCAGGACAAAGTGGCACAGTTTTAGAAGTGAGCTACTGGGAAAAGAATCTGGCAGGGGGTGGGGTGAGTGAAGGGACTCTAGAAGGAAGTGAGTTTAAACACTTTGCTTTTGCTCACACGCTTGGTTTTAAGCCTTGGCTACTGTAACTCGGGAAGGAAGAAGCTGGGTTCAATATTTGCAAGTCCAGGAGGGAAGGGCTGTGAGTGAGCATGCACATTAGCAGCTGGAGTGTGTTGTGGTAGCTGCTTTCCTGTGCTAAGCTGATTTACTTGTTTAAGGTCTGACCTCATCATCCTGTCAGTATGGGTTCCCACCTACACTGTTAGCTGCAGCTTTGCAGCTAGAAAGCTAGAAGTATTCTCTGTGTAGCACAGGCAGCAGGCAGCGGGGGAGGGGGGGAAACAAGAAAAGGCTGCTCTAGGCACTTGTGCTTTTGTTAGTTCAACAGAAGAGGCAGAGAAACCAGAGATAACAAAGGCTCCGTTTCCTTTCTGTGAGAGAAGGCTTTTGTCTTTCCTCCTGCAACAATGTCAATGTCTGGCAAGAAAGAGTTTGATGTGAAACAGATCCTACGGCTACGCTGGAGGTGGTTTAGTCATCCTTCTCAAGGTTCTTCCAACCCTGGAAACTGCCTTCAGCAGGAAGGATATGAGCATAGAGGGACCCAGGTTCAGGGCAGGTTGAAGAACCACTCTCGGGACAGAAACGGACTGAAGAAGAGCAATAGTCCTGTCCACCACAACATATTGCCACCAGTGCCAGGACTGGCCCCTGCCCATCAAAGAGTGCTTCAGAATTGGCACCCACAGAACCTGATAGAACATCTTCGAGCAAATGAAGATACTCCTAAAGCAGTTCCAGAGGAGAATTTGTTCAAAAGAGCTTGTGAGAAACACTCACAAGATTTGGAGATGATGGCTGATGAAAGTACAGGCGAGTCTGCTGCCAGGTAGGAGTTTTCCTTAGTGTAATTGAAAGTCCTAGCCTAGGTTATCTTATCCTCTAAAACTCTCACTTAGTGTTTCAATAAAAGGGCTATAATAATCTCTGGTTTATATATAGTCAATCAGGATCTCCAAGAAACATCCCCCCTTCTAAGTCTATGAAGAAAACAGTAATAACACCTTTTCACAATCGATAGGGAATATATTTTAGGGTTGTGATTTTACTTCTCCTATGTCATTCTGATTCCATTAAGAATTCTGTTTCAGTTCTAAGAGATGTTTACTATAAGTACTAATTTTTTGAAACTATCCTTTGTAGCTTGGATGTTCAAATAGTGATTATTTGCAAAACTGTAGTGAATCACATAGAACTCTTTTTACTTTGTGAGTTAAGCCAACTCTGACAAAATAAAACCTCATACGGCTCAGCACATTCTTATCGGCTCCGTAGTGCATAGTTGCTATATTGACGATTTATAAATGTTTTCTATGTGAGAACACGGGACAGCTTCCTTTGGCATTTGAGATTTACCTCAAGTTGTATTAGTTTCATAGCTAGTTTGTAATCATAAAAACATTTTACATAAAGCAGGTAATAAAATGTTGCTCAGAGCAGAAAGATGTTAAAGTAGGAAATGTAATTATGTTAATTATTTCAGGACATTGAATGGAACAGGAAATGATTTTTAAAAGTATAATGTCAGGATAATTTACAAAATATTTAACTTTACCTTTATTGTTTGAGTGGGAGAAAATTGTTCCCTCTTCATCTTGGCAACATAATGAAATTGTAAAAGAGCTTTGGAAAAATAAGTTTTTGGGGTATGTTTTAATATGTATAACAGTTTGGCATGAAACTATATTTATTTGGAAATCTGGATATTTGATAAATGTGTCTCTACATAAGTATATAAGAAATGGCTTATTTGCTTCTAGATACAATTTTTTTCCAATATATCTTCCTGACAATTTCTTTCTTTTATAAATTCAAAACATAATACCAATAGAAAAAGCAACTCTACAATATATGGCAAAGGACAAATCAAGTGAGTGAAAAGATGCCTTTATAGAAACTCGGTCTTCTTGTTGAAATGTAAACATGCAAATGACAAAGTGTGAAATGACAAAGTGTGTATTAACGAATTGTCCTAAATATTTTTGTGATTACTCCCCAAAATGCTATATAATTGTTGGGATTGCAGATTGTATTTAGTACAACTAATTGGACTTTCAAAGTAATATATAATCCACATTTTTAGATTCAGCAGATCTTCAAATTATCTCTCCTCACCATGAATATCTGTTTTAAAAACTGCAGAATTTGGAGGTTAATATTTAACACATTTGAGTCTCTTGAAGAGTAATTTAAATTATCCACTCTGGTCTAACAAAATTTTTGAGGTTCCCTGATTTCATTTTCCAGCATGAAAATATATTTATAATAAATGAGTTGCTAAAATTAAATGCTGGATAAAATATCAAATATAAAGTGTTACCAAATAATATTTTAAAAAATATTTCTTTTTATTTTATTTCTGATAGTTTCCATGTTCTAAATAAATGTCTGTTAATTATCCTATGGTTAAAGTGGAAAGTTAATATTTTCTTAAAATAAACAGGAAGTGCTTTTACTGATGTGCCAGGGATATTTTAAGCAGAAGAGAAGGGTGAATTGAGTATCTTATTAACTGAAATATAATGGCTTATTAATTTATCATTGGCCATTCTAAATTATGTCTTGGTTAAGGAGGATTTGAAAAGGAGCTCTCTTATGTCCAGCTTCTCTAATGCCTATCTTCAACAAGATACGGGCGCAGGAGGAAAGGATTCTGATTAGTTGGCAACAGCCTTCCATCCCCAAAATAGAACTCTTGTAGTAGTTAAAAACAAACATACAAATAAACAAATAAACAAACAAAAATGGCAGTCAGTGTGAATTACCACACTGGTACAATATGGGCTCCGACACTCAGGGCAAAGTGATGGTCTTTAAGCCATCCTTCTTTCTACAAACATTGCATGAAATAGAGAATGGACTAAATTTATAACATGTAATATAACTGGATAATCTGCAGTTATTCGTAAAATAGATATTAAAGCCAAGTTATTACATGTATATTAATATACAAGTTTGGAGATTAAAAAACCCAAATACATTCTATGTAATTGAATTATAAGTATATGTACTTCATTTAAGAACATCTCTCTATCATGACCCCACACTGTGAGTATGCATATATCAGTATCCCTGGCATCAGAGACCTGAACTCAATTATCATTTTCTTTGTGTCTTTCTCATCTACTAACTATATTTTTGCTTCCCCCTAACTACCTTACTTAGTGTCCTTTATTTTATTTTTTTACTATATGCATGTTTTATGTATTAATGTGTTTTACTCAACACTCTTTAAAGACCATTCCATATTACTCTTTGTGTGTGTATATATATTTTTTATTTTAGCATTCCAAAACCTTCCCTAAATTTTACAACCATTCATTTTTATAAAAGAGAAAGCCTTCATTTTATAACATAAAATTCAACAATTTTCACTTTTAATTTAATTATTGTTTTCTTGCAAAAAAAATACATGAATTTTATACAGTTTGTGTACAGAAGGACAATATGCGAAACAGTAGAACAGTTTGTGCTGCTTGCCCATAACCTGGATATGCCCATTTCTGTCCTCCAAAGGGTGGAAAAAAACAAGAACCCTGCCTGGCAGGGCCTGACTTAGTGACAGACCCTGGGGTTGGGCCAAGACCTTAGAAGTCAAGTCTCTCTCTCTCTCTCTCCATATATATGTGTGTTAAATCGCATTGTTTACCCATATCTTCAGAAAAACAAATCACTTCTGTCTTGGTAAACAACCTGCTTCCCTATTTATAATGGTCTGGCCCTCTAGCAACTTCAGCGTGAAATTATAGCTAATTTGCCTACAAACATCAGGTGGTCGTAATAATCTGGCCACTCAGTGTATACTATATATAATACTTTAAACAAGAAAGAATTTTAAAAAAAGAAAAAGTAGAAAAATAAATAAAGTCTAGCCACAGTGACACATAAAAAACAAAGAAGTCAAGTCTTGTGCATGGAGAATGGGGGACCAACCCCCCATAGTGCATTTCTAAATAAGATTCTAGAGCTTTTAATATGGGAATTTAGTTTAAGAAATAATTTCTCCCTAGTAGGTCATAAAGGTATCTTTATATATTATATGCTACTAACTTTTAGTATTAACTTTTGCATTCAGGACTTTATTCTGTTGTGAATAAACTTTTGCTCTCTTTTAAAAATGTTTTAGAGATATGTAAATATTTATGTAATATTTTTAAAAGTTTGCTAATTTTCTCCAAAAATCCACTTGAATTTCATTAGAAATATATGGAAGTTATAGAATCATTTAAAGAGACGTGCTTTTATAATAACTCCTCTCATAAAATCCAATTAATAAAAATACTTTTGTAATTTTTAATAGTTTTTATAATTTCTTTGTAGAATTCTTATATATTCTTTCTTTTGCTAATTTTTAGTGATTTTATAGATTTATTGCTATTACAAATGGTGTCTTTTTATTTAGTTTGTTTCTTATATAAAAAAGTGACTCAGTTGGATTTGTGTCCTCCTGTGAATTAAAGGTTGCCATTTCAATTCCCTGACAGGGAACATGGCCAGGTTGCAGACTTGATCCTCAGTTGGGGGCGTGCACGAGGCAGCCATCTATGTTTTACTCTCAGATCTCTCTCTCTCTCTCTCTCTCTCTCTCTTCATTCTTCTCTCTCTCAACTAATTCAGATTAAAGAAAAAAAAGTGTTGTTGACTTTGGTTGCAGGTTCTATCCCAGGTCAGGTCAGGGCACATACCTAGGTTGTGGGTTTGATCCCCCTTCGCAGTGCATATGGGAGACAACTGGTCCATGTTTCTCTCTCATTGATGTATCTCTCTCTCTCTTTCTGTCTCTCTCTCCCTTCCTTTATGTCTAAAAATCAATGGACATTTCCTTGCTCGAGGACTAAGAAAAAGAAATTTAAAAAAAATCCAAAATATTATAGTTAAGTAGTAGTAGGAAGGGAAAAAAAACACAGAAGGAAGAGAGTTAAGAAGGGATACTCCTTCCGATAGGGAAGGTCTTTCTGATGAGATAACATTTGAGCACAGATCTAACCGAAGGGGAAAGACATAAGGATGTCTGACTCAAGAATTCGAAGCAAGTGAGAAGTTAATACTGCTGTGCCAAAAAGGAGCCCACGACCACCATCCATTTTTTCTTTGCAAATCAAT